ACATCCAATATGATGAGTCCCCACAAAATTGTCTCATAAATTTTGCGTAAGAAACAAACGCTGGTTTTGATTAAAAAACTACTGAAGAATTTTGCGGAAAGCAATAAAGCCGAAAGAGCTGGCAAAAACTACAAATTTAACCATTAAGACTCCATACAAAATATTTTATAATTTCGCATTTGATTATGGAGTCTTCCACAAAGATCTAATGGCCCTAAGCAAAATAAAAGGAAACTCCTCTAAATAATCAGGATCCTTCATTCTCTTTCTCTTTCTTTCTCTCTCTCTCTCTCTCTCTCTCTCTCTATCCTTGTCTCTCTCTCTCTTTCTCTCTCTCTATCCTTGTTTCTCACTCTTTCTTGTTGTTTCTTCTCTTCTTCTCTATCTCTTTTCTTTTTTTCTCTTTTTTTTTCCTTTTTTTCTTTCTCTTCTTTTCTCTTCTTTTCTCTCTATCTCTCTCTTTCTCTCTCTTTCTCTCTGTGTGTCTCTCTCTTTTCACCGTCATCCCAAAGGAAAAATCTCCTATTTACGTGGCCTTGAATTTGAATCAATCGAGAAGGCAATCCTTCAACATACACCACAGACAGAAGTAACCATGGAAGAACATATAAACAGTGAGATAGTGACAAAGTTTAAGAGAGAGAGAAAGAGAGAAAGAGAGAGAAAGAGAGAGAAAGATAGAAGAAAGATAGAAGAAGAGAGAATGAGAAAAAGAGAGGGAGAGAAAAATAAGGAAACAGCCCTAGTCGCGGAGACACCTTAACCTTACACACTAAATGAATGAATGATTGTGAATGAATGAATGAATGAATAAACGAACGAACGAACGAACGAAAGAATGAATGAATGAACGGAAAATTTGGTCAACAAATGAACAAATAGAGAAGACAAAAATTGATGTTTCTTGAAACAAATTAAAAACTTTTATTTAAATTTCTCATATTTTATTTATAAGTTTGCCTAAAATAGTTCGAATCATCTTTAGGGTCGTCCTGTGAATAGTACGCTGAAAAGTTTGCAAAATGTAAACAGAGCTTTTAAGTTTTTAAGAGTGTTCGCACGAGTATGAGTGGCTTAATTATAAAACGGTTGGAATGAATGAATGATAATTGAATGAATGAATAAATGAATGAATGAATAAATGATGATTAAATGAAGAAAGAACTGAAAGAATGGATGGATGGATGGATGGATGAATAAACGAATGAATGAATGAGCTACGTGCATTCGATTTAATCGTTTGAACAAACACAATAATGTAAACAACAAACCAAACAATGAACAGGCAAACGAATGAACGAATGAATGAAAGAATGAACAAAAAAGTGAAGGAAAGAACGATTGATTGAATGAATAAATCAATGAATGATTGCACGAACAAAAAACTAAGAAAAAAGCAGATGGAAGGAATAAAAAATTAAAAAAAAAACAAAATAAATAAACAGCTAGGTTATGCCAATACAAGACCAAAAGCTGATTGGATGACTTAAACTAGCCAATCACGGCCTCAGAGAAAATGATCACAAATATTTGACGTCTTTGACCAAATAAAAGAGGGACTGCAATAGAACAGTCGAAAAATTATTAACAAAATAATAATAATGATGATGATGATGATGATAATAATAATAACAATAATAATAATAACAACAACAACAATAATAATAATAAATGATGACGGTTGTTAGTAAGAGAATTTAAAGTACTTTAAAGAGCATTCTACTCTACTTAAGTCGGTAAACATTAACAAACAGTTAGTTAGTTAGTTAGTCATCAACGCCTTTCTTCAGTTCTGATGAACTCTTGGCATACGAACTCGGCTATAGAAAGTGTATAGTATCAATCAATTATAATTAACCCCATGGCATCGTATTAAAAGGAGATTTTGTATTAGAATTTACATTTTTAATGAATTTAAAATTTAAACAACATAAAAAGATAGAGATCGAAATGAAAAAGAAGAGATCAACAATTTTTTCTACAACTAAATCTTTTGAAAAAGTAGAAAAGGCCGAAAGAGAGAGAGAGAGAGAGAGAGAGAGAGAGAGAGAGAGAGAGAGAGAGAGAGAGAGAGAGAGAGAGAGAGAGGCCAAAGAAAACCAACTTTACAACTTTTTCTAAGCAATCAGGAATGAATTTCTATTCAATCCACAACTTCCATTGCTACTTCTGTATTTTTCAATGTGCAATTTGCAGGGAAAAAATTTGAAAAATTCGTCAAACGTTCATTGACTACAGCTGGTTTTTCTTCTAAATGGAGTTAAAAAAAGCTTGCAAGGGAAAATTACGAAAAATATTTTAGAATTTAACCTTATGTCATCAACCTGGGGGTATCACACCCCAGAGGGTATAAATAACTCTGTATCTCAGATATTTGAACAAATTAAATTATATACCTTTGTGACATCTTATAACCTTCCTTCACCTAAAATATGGCAAAATCTGGCTTAATTCAAATATTTGGTTTTGAGTATGTGAGCGTTTGAAGTGTCTTACGGCATATTTTGTCAACCTGGGGTGTCCTACACCCCAATAGTCTTGAAGTCATCTAAACTAAAATTAGTATTGTAATAATGAAATAATAATAATGAATGTGAAATAATAATAATAAATGTTATAGCATCAATATAACCATGGATAATTACTTCACTTCATGTAGTCTCGCCGAAGATCTTTGACCGTGAAAACTACCATTGTTGGAACAATGCGAAAAAATAAGCAAGATATACCAAAAGAATTACTTCCTAATCGATCAAGGGAAGAATTGTCATCAATATTTTGTTTTGACAATCAATTAACATTGACCAGCTATGTTCCTAAAAAAGGGAAAGCAGTAATTCTGCTCTCCAGCATGCATCATGATGCTGCAGTTGATGTTGGCAACAACAACAAACCAGACATTATTGATCATTACAACAAAACAAAATCAGGAGTAGATAATCTCGATCGCCTAGTTGGACTGTACAGCTGCAAACGAAAAATTAGCAGGTGGCCGATGACACTCTTCTTTAACGTCATTGATGTTGCTTGTGTTGCAGCATATGTTGTTTGGATAGCAAAAAATCCACAATGGAATGAAAAAAAGATGCACAAACAAAGATTATTTTTACCAAATCTTTCTGAAGAGCTGGTTGAAGAACACCTTCAACGACGAAGTGAAAATCCGTTTGTTATGCAGAAGCAAGTGAAGCTGGCATTCAAAGCAATGGGTTTTCAACCAGCCATAGCAGTTCAGGCAGAGCAACCAGAATCTTCAGGACAGAAGAGATGTGGCGTTTGCCCACGCTCATCGGATCGGAAAACCAAAAGCCGATGTTCATCATGCGGTATACCATGTTGTCAAAATCACAGCCGTCTGGTTTGTGAAACCTGTACTGATGCTTAAAACGACAAATAAACTATGAAACATTGTTGCTAATTAATCAATATTTTACAGTTGCCTCAAATAATTAACTTAGGTAAGACTATTGTGAAAAGTTATAATATAACATTGTTATATATATATATATATATATATATATTACAATTTATTCTAAACAAAAACATTGTATTTTTTATCAGCTTCATATTATCTTGTTTATATTATGTTCAATAAAATACTTACAAAACATTATTCCATCATGTTTGAACCTGATAGGTGTAGGACACCCCAGGTTGACAGAATGTGTTGCAATATAGGGTTGACGACATAGGGTTAAACATGGATTTACTCAAAATCTTTTTGTCTGGTCTGGTTTCATGAATACTTTGTTTTAAATTGTTTTCCAGATTTTAGTTAAAGTGCCTCTTTTAATTTTTTTAATCTTCATGAATATACTAGACTACTCTGTATAGATTGGTATTTACCGAGAGGTTATAGCATCGAATTATTAATATTGTGAACGCATTAGAATATACGGCAGTATGTGGCGCAATACGTGTCTCTGTATCTATCTCTACATCTCTCTATGTAAATATTTACACGCTTAGTGTGCGTGCATGCGTGCGTATGTGTGGTTATGCGTATGCGTGTGTGTGAGAGACATGTGTGCGCTTGTGTGTACATGTGTTAATGTGTGTGTGTTTATGTGTGTGTGTTTATGTGTGTGTGTTTATGTGTGTGTGTGTACGTGTGCGTGTGTGTGGTGTATGTGTGTGTGTGTGTTTGTATGTGTGTGAATCTATCTATCTAACACATTACAAAATGCTTTAGTAGATGAGTGAATGTGTTAGATAGATAGATTCATTTCCACGAAAAGCCATTTAATAACAATAGAAAAGTGATAATATTTTTGCCCTATTTTTAATCAAATGTAAGCAAATAATGAGTTGAATACACACACAAACACATACACAAATACTCACACAAATACGCACACAAGCACACACGCACACACACATATGGATATAAATATGTTTATGTAAAATCAACATTTTGGTTTTTTTTAAGTCTCAAGATTAATAAATATTTTTTATATGATAAAATGAGATGAAATAATAATCCAATTTGATACAATTGCGTTGCCATCAAGATGTCCGGCTGTCTTGAGTGTTGTTGCAGTGACCGCATTCGCCTAAGACAAGATTCATTATTTTCAACATATTAGGTCCGAGAGTTTTTATTTATTTTGAAAAAAAAAAATAAAGAGAAAAAATAAGAAAAAATTAAAACTCAAAATATTTAACCCGAATATTCTTACATGTACAACATCACATCCCACGTATCATTACACTATTTTCAAAAATGCTAAGTGGCATTATTGTTATTATTGTCATCGTTGTTAATAATAGTAGTAGTTGTAGTAGTTGTAGTAGTAGTAGTAGTTGTAGTAGTAGCAGCAGCGGTTGTAGTAATTGTAGTAGTATTCTTTTCTTTTTATTACAAGCGCTATTTTCTTCTCTTAGTATTTATACTTCTGGTAAAAACGGTGGGAATTATGGTGGAAGTTTTGCTTGTACGGTTGAGTGATGGTAGAGGTTTTGCAACAACAGCATTACCATACCAGTCTAACTTTACCGGATCATCCGGAAGCATGGATTCGTATTTCTGGTCCCAGTGTTCCAGGAGTTTGCATAAATTTTCTGGCCCTTTGTTGTGGTAGTGTAGCCCTTTTTCGCGTCTGTTTCATGTGAGTTTGGGGTAATTTTTTAAAATATTTTTTGATTTGTGAAAATCTTTTTCTCATGCATAATTGCTGTTTAATTTTTTTCATTTATCTATCTGAACAAAACAGCAAAATCAAACGTAATTAAATATTAAAAGTGACAATTGAAAAGTAAACTTGATTATAACTCTTCCATTACTTTGCTTTTACATTAACCAAACAAACCGTGCAACAAAAAATTTTGTAAACACTCGTCAAAAACCGGCCTGTTAATGCCGACGCAAGAATCCGCCTTGTCGCCATTCACATGTTTCAAGTTGCTATAAACCGTGAAGATATTTTTCTTGGTGGCGAAATGTATAAACCACATCTCCCACATGGTGTCCGCTGTTCCCATGTTAACAAACTGCCTAAACCAGCTACTTACAACGGTACCATCAACGTACGGTTGGAACCCTTTAACTCCTCTGGCATAATGAAACCAGTCCTAATTTGGTAACGGTGGCATGTTTTTATTATAGTATTTTAGTTTTTTGTTGGTGATGGTGGCATGAGTTGTGTTTGTGTGTGTCTGGATATTTGATTTATTTTGATTGTGGTTGGTCACTCTGCTGTAATTTATCTCGACTTCTAGTAGCTGACTTTGTGATAACAGAGTGAGTGCCGTGTCCCAACCAACATAACATATTCATGTCCCATTTCAAAATACGTAACGTGAAGGTTAAAATTAGCGATGTTTTTTCTCTCTAATAAAGTTTTCAAAATCAGTATTATAGCAGCATTAATTAGAAAGTCAAAGATTTATTTGAAGCAAATTTCGGACTAGAAAATGTTTTCAAAAAAAGTTAAAATTACAGTTCCTGTCAAGAAATATTATTCACTAGATAGCGCGTAAACGTTTAAAAATTTTTCAAACAGCAGAATAAATTTAAAAAAAAAAAGTGAACTACCAACGTCCACAAAATTGAATCTGGCTAAGATCAGTAATAAAGTTGTTTTTTTTTAAATTATATTTCAATTTTGAGTGCGTAATTAGTGGATAATTGCTGAACGAATGAATAGTTGCAATTGAAAAAATGAAATGATTTTTTTCTGTTATTTTCATGAAAGACAACAAAACGATCTGAAACTTTGTATTGATATTTATCCATACCTGAAACTCGGCCCAGAACTGAGGTGATGGAGCAAACCCCCACGTTCCTATGCAGACGTACATTAGGGCCGATTCGTTTTTGGGGGCTGAATTGAATTGTAATGAGGTGGAAATTATTATTGGATAGAAAACTTGATATTCAACAACAGATATTATTTAAAATCATTTAAAATTGTCGTCAAAAAATAAACCAACCGCCCCCGCCTATACAAAAACAAATTAATGAACCTGAAAGAGGTTTGTTACTGTTCAGGGCTAGAGCTTCATCACTTTGCAGCGACACGCCAGCATAGTCAGCCCTCCGATTATATTTTCTGTGGGCAGCTCTCAAGAATCGATAAGCCTGCGGCGAGATTGACAAGTCGTCTTCTAATATTAAGGCGATTTCTTTTCCAAAACTTTCGTGATAGGGATATATGGTCGACGTCATGTTTCGTGGCTGGAAAGGTGGGGCATGTTTTGGTCTCCACGTATTAATCCACTGTCCCATGATGCCCACATTCCTGCTCTGGTTGTGAATTCTCGTTTGGCCTTGCCTCCACTGACATGGTTTGATATTTGGAGAAAAATATTCAGGAGGAAAATGTGTTAAATAAATGTAGTTTAAGAATTTTTTTTATTTTAATTTTATTCATACTGTACGTGCAAACCACGATCTGAAAATCCGACCTTAAATTCTGATACGGCCTTATAGGTTTCATTATGTATTCCAGTTTTGTCATTGCGATCGATCCAGATTTCTAGTATGGCTTTATCCCCGTCGAGTTCCAGGGACTGCAAACTGTTCAGCAGTTTCATCACACTGACCGCACGATCGTACGTTATGACTATTACTCTGTCAGAAGTTTTCGGGTTAGGCTTGCTATGAAATCATGTTGTATAATCTAATGATGAACTAAAAAATTTATCTGAAAAATGGAAATTGGAAAAGTTTATCGCAAGCAATGCTAAAGAAATTACTTAGAAAACAGAAATCTTTTCAATTTTTTCCAAGATTGAAAATCGCAAACCTGAGATCAACAACATTCTCGTAAACGCAAGGCACACCAGCTCTGCAGTGTAGGCTATTCCTGCTTATTAAGTATCTGTGGTAATTCTTTCTAATCAGGCCCTGAAAGTTAAGAAAGGTGATGAGGAAAGTTAGAACTGTAAATGAGGCGAGGTGTGTTTTCACTGTACATTTCATCTTTTTTTCACAACTTCAACTGGTGAAATAACTAAGATTTTTACTCGTAATTGGCAGGTTTTTTATATCAATAAGTTATTTTATTTTACTTTTATATATCATAAAACAATTTTCAAGAACAGAATTTTGTAGAGACTGTATTTGAAGTAGTCTTTCAACTTGTGGATTCACTTCGAATGATCCGACCCCAAAAAATGTCTTGCTAGCCACTGATCAACGCTAATATTGCAGTTATTAATAGTTTTTGTTGCTAAAACTAATATTAGTGTTATTATCATATTAAAGTGAATCAAAATACCATGAAAATTTACAGCTAAATTTTTCAAAACTGGACACAATATTAACGAATAAGCATTGTTGATATATTGATCAAATAACTATTGATTGAGTTTATTTTCCGTTAAAATAATATTTTCGTTGTTCAACCGTGTGAGCTAGAGCTCCACCATAACTTAATTATGTAACAAACATATAGGGTAGGTATGTCTACTCAAATAAATACGAATAAACAAACTTAACACATAAACAACTTAACTAAATCTTACATGGTTCATAGATACATACACACACACATACATACATACATACATACATACATACATACATACATACATACATACATACATACATACATACATACATACATACATACATACATACATGCATACATACATACATACATACATACAATACATACATACATGCATACATACATACATACATACATACAATACATACATACATACATACATACATACATACATACATACATACATACAAACAGACCAGGTTGGCAGCAGATTGTTGACGATATCATTGAAAAAATTTAACATACATACATATATACATACATACAAACATACATTATATATGCATAAATACATTTTACGCATTCTTAACTAAAGTTACATTAATTTGCTCAGCGATTCCATTTCATACGCTTGAATGAACAAATTCGTCGTTAATGTTCAGCTATTATTGTTACACTGTGTTAAGTGTTGTTGAGCTGCTGTTTTGCATGTGTCGTCGTTGTCGCAGTTGTGGTAGCTGCTGTTGCCTCTTGCCGTTTTGGTAGTGTTTGTTATTAAATTTGAAAAGATTCACAGTTTCAGTTTCTGTGGTCATATTGATGTAGTAGTCGTTGTTACGGAAATTACCGTCGTTTGTGAGTGTGTGCTTGTGTGCGTGCTTGTGTGTTTGTTTGTATGTGTGTGCAAATGTGAGATAGTGTGGGGTTTTGGGTATTGTGTATGTGAGCTGATATTGTATCTGCCAGTGTCATTTGAATAAGGCTTAGTTTAGTAAGACATTGAATTATCGAGTTATTAAATGTTAAGGCTGACGAAAGCGTTTTTAAGCATGTTTACCTGAATAGTTTATTTGAAAAATATATAAAAATATTTTGTCTGATGATAGGTTCAGTTGTTACAGTTTCTGCGTCTGTCAGATCCTGATTTTAAAGAATAATAAAAAAAAGTGTATACTAAAAAAAATGCTTTGCAATGCATTTATTCTTCTTTTTATTTCTTTGAAATTTTCCATGGTTTTTTCACGATTATGATATTTTTCCAATCATTCATTGATACTTTTTTTAGTAATTCATTTGCACATTCAATTACAACTGTTTATTTTAAACAGTTTTTTTTATGATTTTTTGACAATTTAGTTTTAAAAGTAAAACAAACTTATTTAGGGACGTTTATATTAGATTTTTATTTACTCTTTTTTTCAGATTTAAATCTGCAAATAATTGCATTCAGTGCTATAAACTTTCATTTAAACTGCTATGGAAATACAAACAGATAAATATTTTACATCTAAAAAAGTGTGTATAACAAATGTTTGTCCATGCTTAAACTTTATCAAATTTTTCAGTCACATCTGCACTTAATACTTTTAAATGAAAAATAAATCTAGAAAGAGTTTGTATCACATTGATTAGTTAATATAGTTATTGTAAAAAAATTAATTAAGTTATTATTAAATTAATCAATTCGTTAGTAGATGATTATAAAAATATAAACAACGATCGACCAGAGAGATAAGAGTAATAAAAAACAAAACCGCATTTTCACAAGCAAAAAAACACAAAAGGCTGGAAAACCTTCGTAATTAAAAGCCGTGATCACTATCTTTAACAACCAAACAATAGAAATAGTTTTTAAATTAATTTTTTTTCCATCTGAGAGGCAGAAATTGGAAAAATAGATGGTGCGTCTTATGGAAAACTTTCGGTGAAGGCAGTAATTGAAAGGGCTGCAGTTTTCATTGAATTTCATGCGTTTCGTTCATTCTTGACAGGATTCCCTGTCCAATCTAATTTCAGCGGATTGTCTGGAAGCATGGATTCGTATTTTGGGTCCCAGACTTCCAGGAGCTTGCACAAATTTTCGGCTCCCTTGCTTGGGTAGTGGAGGCCCACCTCTCGCCTGTTTTGGGGGCATTCGAAATGAAAATGTTTTTACACCAAAGTTAAAAGTTGAAACATTCAGTCATGCGTTTCAATAATTTGGTTTTAATGCGATTACATTTCTGTTTATAATGAGGTACATTTCACAACACATTATTTTGGCTATTTTGCACTTTTGAATATTCATGCCAAGATTTTAATATTCTAAAAAAATTTTCAGAAGCTAAAATTAGTGTTATATAAATGATACAAAATTGCTTGTTGAAAGATTTTAAAATTCAACAACCAAACAATCAACAAAACCAACCAGACAACCATCCAACCAACCAGTTAACCTGCCAACCAATCAACCAACCAACCAACTAACCAACCAACCATCCAACTAACCTATTGATGCCAACACACGAATCCGCCTTATCGCCGTTGACGAATTTCAAGTTGCTGAAGACGGTGTAGGCATTCTTCTTATTGGCAAAATAGATGAACCACATCTCCCACATAGAATCAGCGGTGCCCCGTTGGACGAAACTTCTGAACCAACTGCCTGGTGTTGTGCCATCCAGGTAGGGTTGGAAATCTTTGATTTTTCGGGCATAGTGAAACCAGTCCTATGGTGATTCCAAAAAAAATTTTTTTGGTGTAGTAGAAAATTAAACAAACTATCAAGAAATTTTTTTGTTTATGTCACTAAAGTTTATTGAAAATAGTTTAAAAATTCATTTTTACTTGGAATTCTGCCCAGTATTGAGGCGACGGGGCAAACCCCCAAGTTCCGATGCATACGTACATAAAGGCAGACTCATTGGCGGGAGCTACATGTCGTAAAAAACATAAAAACGTTGTTAAGTTCATCATTTCTATATAAATGTAATGTAATGTGATGTGATGTGGCGGATAGCTAAAAGCACCAGATATGCATTGCATTACCGGGATTGATTTCAAAAAAATCTCCGCTGGTCATAAATGACGAAATGAAACTTTTTGGATCAAGTGTAGGTCTATTTAAAATCGCCAAGAGTGTGTTGTTGTTAGCAAAAGTCAAAAAATGAGTGAGGAATTGTCAACGTGATAGAACCTACCTTTGAGAGTTTCTCCGCTATTGTGGGCTTTCGCCTCGTCACTTTGCAGCGACACGCCAGCGTAGTCAGCCCTTCCGCCATATTTCCTATGAGCAGCTTTCACAAACCGATAAGCTTGTGGTGAGACCGATAAATCATCTTCTAAGATCAGAGCGATTTCTTTTCCATACTCTGGACGATAAGGGTACATCGTTGATGACATGTTTTTGGGTTTGAAGGGTGGAGCTACCCTCGGCCTCCATGTATCAATCCATTGACCCATAATGCCGGCATGACTTGTTTGGTTGTGAATTCTGGTCGGGCCTTTAGTCCACTGTATTCCAAAATTATCATTATATTAATATCTCACTTTGAATTAACTAAAAAACAAAATTTTCTGTTAAAAAAAAATTCAATAAAATTTCACACCCCAATAACTTAACAATAAAATATTAATTTTCAAATATAATCGCGTGAGGCTGCAGCCCTAAGATTTCATTGCTACGCCAAGATGTGTCATACTTATCATCATGTCAGACCTTAAATGTTGAAACGGCTTCATAGGTTTTGTTGTTAATGCCAGTCTTGGCGTTGCGATCAATCCAGATTTCAAGTATGGCTTCATCTCCGTCGAGCTCCAGGGATTGCAAACTGTTCAGCAGTTTCATGACACTGTCTGTCCGGTCGTACGTTATGACTATCACTCTATATCGGTGGGTAGGAGAAGTTTTAAATTTGCTTTTGGCTATTTTAATGTTTAAATGTCACAAATTTTTATATCATAGATGTGAAGAGAGGTTTTGTTGAATGGAGAAAAAATTAGCTATTTTCTAGTTGGGCAATTTTTGTTTATTTCATTTATTAAATTTGATATTGAGAAAGTTTATTGAAGTTTTGAATTATAACTCTAAAAAATACTAAGTTTTTTTTTTATTTTCTCTAATTCACAATTCATAAAACAAAATCTTCAATAAATTATTTTAAATTAAAATAAAACAATACATTACTGACCTCAAATCAACGACACTCTCATAGACGCATGGCTCACCGGTAGGACACTGCAAAATGGTATTCTCCATAAGATAATCCTTGTATCTTTTCAGATTGTTATTGTAACTGAAAAATGTGACCATCAGTGTAAAGATGACGGCAAATGCAAACAGAGTTTTGGCTGTTGTTCTCATATTTCAAAATTTCAAAAAATTTTTTTAAATTATAATTGTTTTGATGTTATGGACACCGACCCGCAAATTTTAAAATAAAATAAATAAGTACAATAGATTTATGCAAGTACAATTAATAATTGATTAAGAATAATAAATAATTAATTATTTATTTAATTGCCGGAAAACTATACGATAATAATCAGACCAATTAACAAATTATGATACCAAGCCTGATCAATTTATTTTAGCGCATTTTATTTTTATATTTGGCTTAACGTACCACCATAAATGTATATATATATATATATATATATATATATATATATATGTGTGTATGTCATGTGTGTAAAAATGTAAAAATATCGAAATAACATTTATGGTGAAAACATGTGAAAATTTTATTACGATATTTTTACATTTTTGTATAATTTATTTATTCACTTGTTAATAAATGTTATACACACACACACACACACACGCGCGCGCGCGCGCACGCACACACACGCATGCACGCACGCGCACAATAACAATATATATATATATATATATATATATATATATATATATATATTTATTTATTTGTTGGTAATAGACCATAATTTTTGCAATATTCTATAAATTCTATTTATATTTATATACAAAATGGAAAAAACCGAAATAAAATTCTCACATTTCAATATATGAGAATACACATATGTATGTCTTATATATTTGCATGTGTGTATATATGATATATATATATATATATATATATATACATACATATATCAATATATATATATGTTGGTAATAGACCATAATTTTTTCTTTTTTGAAATATATATATATATTCACATGTGAGCATAGGTGTATATATAACTTTATATAAACATACAAAATCAAAGCCACGTATATATAACCTCTGTGTGTGTGTGGTGTGTGTGAGAGAGAGAAGACTGTGTGTGTGTAATCAGTGTATGTGTTTGCAAGCCAAGATGATACAAAAACACACGCACACACATAAACACACACGCGCACGCGCACAATCACACAAGTTTAGATGAAAATCATTAAACTCCATTTATTCCTAATTGAAAATTCAATAAAAAAGATCCGCAGGTGGTGCACTAGCATTGAAAAGTCGATAACGATAATGTTTTACATTGTTTAATAATGGAATGAATATAAGAGTAACACACTCACTACTATACACAAACACACGCGCGCACACGCACGCACACACACAAGCGCACACACATATCTTTTAAATTATACTACTTTTTACATCTCTACATTTCCATGATTGTCATATATAGAAAATTTTACTTGTGAAAAGTTAGTTATCTTTTTTGCTCTAGTATTCAAGTTTTATGAAATGATTCGTCAAAGTTAGATTATCATTTGTGAATTTAGCTAAAAGTTAGTCAAAGCTACATTAGCTTTTGTACAAGCTCAAGACAATATGCCTGCTTTGCTTTATAGATGATACTGGATATGTATATTTATAATCTGAATGTATGTATTTTATAAATATTTTATTTCTAAATACCGTTCGTTGTTTATTTAATATTCGTTTGAGCATACTATAAAATAAAAGCATTTTCATTATTTATTAATATATTTTGTCTTATTATGATTATCTAATATATATATATATATATATATATATAATTATATATATATATATATCATGATATATATCTAGTATATTAATTATTATATATATTTGATACATTAGTTATTATATTATATATATAATATAATATAATAATTATATTTATCAATAATGCTATTGATATCATTGAATCTGATGTTCCGAATTCAAGTGACAATTAAAGTTTGTGACTTTTAGTCTAGCGAATATTAAAACAGTTGAGGATGGTATCAGAGTTATTTATCTTATTCTCCTTACTGTAACTATTGTTGTTGTTATTATTATTACTATTATTCATTATTATTATTATTATTATTTTTATTATTATTAATAATATTTGACCCCGGCAATAGTTATCTTGACCTAAACCCTTTCTATTTTTAGATTGAACTTTATCTGCAGCTGCCAAAGACAAGACGCCAGCTATGATATAAAGATCGTTATCATTACTATTACTATTATTATTATTATGGTTGTTATGATTAATATTATTATATTTTGTTACTATTACTATTAAAATTATTTGACCCCGTCAGTGATTATTTTCTTGACCTCTGGTCCTATGACCCCTGGCTAAGGCTTTGTCCGACTCTTTCATGCCAAAGCAGCAGAAGATTACACCGATGACGAGTGCAATAAGTAGGAAGCCGACTATGAGGTACAGGAAGAGGTAGCTCTCCGTTTCCTGAATGGGATTGGGACTTGCAGCTGGCTTGTTTTGGACGAAATTTCTGTTGATTAGGTAGTTTTCGCTGAAGTGGAAGTAGAAATCAGTGGTGGATGTTGTGGATGGAGTGGTCGTCTGTAGGCCGTTGGTGTGGCTGTTGTGGATAGAGCGATTGTGCTTGATGTGGCTGTTGTGGATAGAGCGATTGGGCTTGATGTGGCTGTTGTAGTTGCGGCCGATCAATTTTTTTGCTATTATGTAGTTGGTTGCAAGAAAGTTGCCGATTGTGGGTTTTGTTGCAATTGTCTCATTAGTAGGTGCAAGAATGTTTCTGCCGCGGTGGTCGTTTTGGCTGTAGATTGAAGTTACTGCAGCCGCCGTTGTGGCCGCCAAAGGGTCTTGATCATTGGTAATGTTGCTAGTGGTTTTTGAAGCTTTTTTGTGGTTCGTTGTCAAAATGTTCATGTTCCTGTTGACGTTTTTGTTAGGTTTTTCGATATCGGATATCTTTTTTTTGGCTGTTTTAGTTGATGTCTCTTCTTTACTGCTATCTTTCATGTGGTTCATGTCACTGTCTGTCACACTCGTCTCCGTCATTTCCTCTACATGATCTGGTTTCAATGGAAGTTAGCCATAAAATAGTCATTTTTTAATTTTTTTGGTTCTTCATTCATTTATTCGTTCGTTCGTTCATTCATTCATTCACTTCGTTACATTAATTCATTCATCATTTGTTCGTTCGTTTGTTCGTTCGTTCGTTCGTTCGTTCGTTTATTCATTCATTCATTCGTTCATTCATTCATTCATTCATTCATTCATTCATTCATTCATTCATTCATTCATTCATTCATTCATTCATTCATTCATTCATTCATTCATTCATTCATTCATTCATTCATTCATTCATTCATTCATTCATTCATTCATTCATTCATTCATTCATTCATTCATTCATTCATTCATTTATTCATTCATTTATTCATTCATTCATTCATTCATTCATTCACCTACCCATTCATTCATTCACTCCGTTTCACTCATTCACTTACTTGAAACGGCTGGAAGAATGACATTCACCTCGACTTGCCTTGAAGAGGTAACCAATAAGAAGCAGGACCAAAGCGAAATTGCGACAAACTCCATGCTCCAAATTCCAATCTTTTAAAAATTTTCAACATTGAAATAATTTCTAAACAGTATATTTTTCATTATATTTGAAAATGGAATAACTCAACTAGATATAATAATTACAAATTACAATTAAAACTATAATTATTATACTGATTTTACTACTAATAATAATATACCTATAATTATGAACATAATTATTATTATAGCACTACTAGTAGGTCTACTAACGGTGATTCTTACGAGAAAGAGAAGGTTCACAGCTCATCACTCCATGTCACAAGATCAAAATTATTTCATGAATTTGAACACATACATAATTATATTCCTCAAAAAGATTGAATAATAATATTAATTATAGTAATTATAATTATTATAAATATAATGACAACAACAACAACAACAACAGCAACAGCAACAATTGTAATAAATCTGGTCTCCGTCTTTTATATTTTTTCAATTTTTATTAGCTGCTTAAGTTGTTTGAAAATGTTTTTAGAAGATAAATAAATAAAAATAAATCCAGGACGCGTTTCTGCTACCAAAACATTTTATTTGCAATAAATTAATAATAATAATATTAATAATAATATTAATAATGATAAAACATTTATAACAAATTTATAACAATAATTATAACTGCTACTTTTATTAATGCTATACTACCATCCTCTATTTCATAACCTTTTTATAAACTGAAGATTCTTAAAATTCTTATCATTCTTAAAATTTTCATTATCATTTAGTTTATTTACACTAGCATTTGGATTTATCTGAAAAGTATTTTTTGTTCTCAGCAACATTAATACAATTATCAATGTTATTTTATTGTTTTGATTCTAATTAATATTATAATTAGTTCAGTTATAATTAATGTTAGTATTTCAATGCCTCTCCACTTTATTCTTTTCCTCCTTCACTACAACTTGCCTGGCTTTATCAGCTTCTCTGGCTCCAAAGAAGCAGCAGACGATCCCAATGACGAGTGAAGCCACCAGGAAAGCCACAATAAGATGGAATATGAAATAATCTTCTTGATAACTCGTCATAGGACTCGCCGTCTGGCGTGGATGTGGCTGCTGTGGCTGCGGTCGCAGCTGTCGGTCTGAGTAGTCTTGGTGCCGAAATTTAGTGTCTTCGTCGCTGACGATTTTGTGGCCCATGACGCTAAGGGATGTGATCTGGTTTTGGTGAATGGAATGTGGAGAATGTGATTTTGTATGATTTTTTTGGAATTTTTATTTAATTTGTTTATTTTTTTAATGTTACCAGTGGGGTTCCTCAAGGATCCGTAATAAGACCGTTACTATTTGTAATATACCTCAATGACATTGATCTAGGAATAAAGTCTAAAATTTCAAAATTTGCAGATGACACTAAATTATGTGCTGTTGTAGACAACGATAAAGATATTGAGATTCTAGCATGGCGGTCTGTAAAAAATATGCAAATGAACAGAGGTTTGTTAGGTGGTATTCGACACCAAAAAATGCTTTCCTATTCTTTTTGATCACTTTCGTTATTATGGTCATTATTATTATAATAATAATAATAATAATAATTATTATTATTATTGTTGTTGTTGTTGTTGTCGTTGTTGTTGTTGTTACAAATAATACAAATTATGAACCATAAACTTTCTAAAAAAAAATTATAAAATCACTCCACAAACTTTAGAGGTAGACAGACAGATAGAAGTAAACAAAAGAATAATATAAACAAACACGTAACCTAAATTTAAATAGCAATTCAAATAACAAAAGCCATGAGTTTATAATAATAATATTAATAATAATTATTATTATAATAATAATAATAATGTGTTTTACGAATACCGGCAAAGGTTTCTACCAATCAGTATACCATTTATTTGAATATATATTGGTCAAAAACAATTAATGTTGACTTAACTTAGCACCTACCCTGCCACTACTGAAGCCACTACCACCACCACTACTACTACTACTACTACTACTACTACTACGACTACGACTACTAATACTACTACTACTACTACTATTACTACTACTACTACTTTTGCTGCTGTTTTGCTGCTGTTCCTGCTATTAAATCTAACGCTAATAAAATTAACATTAATAATGGTTAAAAAAGTAATAAATGGTTGATCTCAACTATTCTAATAATTTTCATGTCAATATTAAAACACATTTAAACACTAAACACAATTGCAGGGAAGAGAGGTTCGTGAAAACCTTGTGTCATTTTTTGTATATCACCATATTTCAACTACTACAAAGTGTTAAAGATCGGATTTTTTGGAGGCCGATGGTCGCCAATGTTCTTGTTCTAAAAGTATGAAGCACGAGAAAAAAAGATAATTTTTTATCATTTAGATAATTTTTTCTATATTTTTTATTTCGAAAAATCGTAATTTAAGTGTTTGTCATGGTCATTATAATAGTAACTACTATCATAGTAAATGTTGTTGTGGCTGTTAATGTTGTTATTATTAATGTCATTGTTCTTCTTAATATTATATAAATCCGCAATTTTTCAGATTCTGAGTTACAACTTTTCATATTACACCATAATACAAAAAACATCCCACCATATCACCACCAAATTAAACCAAACCCCAATCCAACTACAGCCACCACACGGATTTTTTGAGGTAAGTAAGCCACGGGCCAACAAAGAAATTATTGAAGCCCCTAACTATTTAAACAAAATTTTTTCGCCTATTTTGTTTATTCCATATTATCTCTACAATGTTCTTTATTAAAGCCCAAACAGTTGAAGACGCTTTATTATCCGGATATTTTTTACTTTATTAAATGGGTCATCATTATAGAAGGTTATATCCTGTGATGATTTCCGGGACAGATCCTGCCTGGCCCCTTTAAATACCCGGTACATCCCCGTCACCACAACTTCAAACACCCAAACACAGAAACTGAAATCGGTAAGATGACGGCCAGTGGCATCGAAATAGGGATGTGCTGATGGCCGTTACAATATGCCCTTTCGCAGTAGCAGTTGATCGCTCCGATGCCAGCTATTCTGGCGTCAAGGCACCCAACTCCAGTTAGAGCGAATGCAGAACACGACTTCTTAATTTTTTTTTCTCCGCCTGGTTTTAGTGGGATGTCGAAAATTTTCAAGTTCTTAAAATACATGAAAGTGTTATTATTATATCATAATTAAGAATCGTTATTAGTGTTGTCTATTTTCATTATTATTATTACAAGCATTTCTCCCATATTATTATATTTATAATGTAATAATGTGAAGAAATCTGCAAAAAAACACCAACTGATTGGGAATGACTCAGTCTTAGTGCAATATGTTCCTTCGCAATAAGTCGTGCATCTATAATATGTGGTCTCGCAGTTATAACACCATACCGACTGAACCGTATCTATTCGAAAGAATGCCCAAATCAGGATGAGGGTAAATACCGAAAGACGGCTGCGGTCCGGTCGAAGTCGCATTTTTTTTTTGTGATTTTTATTTTATTTTATCTATAACAAATGCCAAACTAAACTATGACTTGTTTGAAGAGTTATAATAATAATTATAAATAATTTCAAATAATTATAAATAATTTTAAATAATTTTAAATAAAAACCTTATTCTCTTTTAACATATTGTTGTTGTTTGTTTATGCGTAATGATGTCATTAACAAAAACGTCATAAGATGCATAGATTGTTTGACTTTTGGCTAATTAAACTAGGTTGTAGCACCGGTTTTCAATCAATTAATTTTTCAATTAATTATTTTTCAAATACCATAGAACTATTTCTCTGCAGATTGTAACAACACGGCTGTAACATGCTCAAGGTCTAGGAATCAATAAAAATGAGTTAAATAAATAGGTGATTTGTCAAAAAAAATAAGCAATGTATCAATATTTTAAACAACTATATATAAACCAATTAGTATGATATATTGATACATATATATGATTTATATTATAAATAATTAAAATATATTATTAAAATATTTATAAATTTTTTATTTACTACTAAAATAATGATAAATAAATATATATTTGTATGAAAAAATATAAATATTTAAATTTATATTAATCTGTTTTGTTCTGACTTAATAATTCGTTGAATTTTTAAAACCGTCAACATAAACTTACGTAAACTATAAAATAAATAATTAATGTATCTATTGTGTCTTTGTTTTTACTTGTCTACATAAAAGTCATACATATAAACATAACTATATACTAATAGTGAAATTAATTGAGATTGATAGACACATACATTTACATAGATGTCACATATTTCTGGTTTTATTTAAGATACGGTGCCAAATACATAATGACAAAAAACATTATCATTATGATGTATTTACATAAAGTAGTTTTGAAAAATCCCGGGTTTGACGTTCAAGGAAGTTTAAATGAAACATTCAAGTTAAACAAATTTGATAATTTTATCCCTAATTTAGGAATATGAAACAAAATAGTGCCATTTAAAACAACGACCATGACAACATCAACAGTAACACCAAAATAAATATATTAGGACAACGACAACAATATTAACAACAACAATGCTAGCAACAGTTACATTAAGAGCTGCTTAAACAACAACAACAACACCATAAACAATGACATATAAAACAACAAAAACCACAACAACAGTAACATCAATAATAATTATAACATTAACAGAGACATTAATTGGCAGTGTTAATGCGTCGTTAATGTGTTATAATTGCAATACGAACTCGTCTACAAAACCTTGCCAGTTTTGGACTTGTTTCGGCGAGTATTGCGCCAAACTTGTCAAGCTGGACGAACGTAAGTGAGGGCGTGGCTGTTTTTTTTTTCAAATTAATTTTTCACTTTAAATCTTTTAAAATACGTTGAGGATGTCTTATTGAATTGTTATTTATCCACTAACCAAACCGATAACCAATCATTCATTCCATTAACCAATCCATTAACTATTAAATCAATTAACTAATTGTTTGATTGATAGTTTAGTTAACTGATTATTCAATTAAACTATTATTCAATCCATTTATCTATCCATCTTTGTCAATCAATCAATCAGTCAATCGATCGATCAATCAATCAATCAATCAATCAATCAATCAATCAATCAATCAATCAATCAATCAATCAATCAATCAATCAATCAATCAATCAATCAATCAATCAATCAATCAATCAATCAATCAATCAATCAATCAATCAATCAATCAATCAATCAATCAATCAATCAATCAATCAATCAATCAATCAATCAATCAATCAATCAATTAATTAATAAACTCATTCATTTAATTTGAAAACGATCGTACTATATGTACATCAATCAAATAATTAAATCACTGTTAAATTATTAAAAATTAACTATTCAGAAACAGCCAAGATTGTCGAAGTTAGAAGATACTGCCACATAGATAAATGGAATAATAATAATAATAATAATAATAATAACATTAAAAAGAAAAATATCAATAATAATAAAGAGGACGACGACGATGGTGATGGTGAAATAAATATGGGTTGTCATCAGACCAAGACGTTCATAAAGTGTCTTTGTGCTACAAAATTTTGCAACGGAGCCAGCAACGTGGGAATTGATTTAAATTTTTTTTTACTTTGTTCGTTTTTAAAGTTCTTCTTTGCAGGTACTCTGTGGTGATGTTTGCATGTTTTTTTTTATCTTCTGTCCGTTACTAATATGGTTTTTAGAGGTTGTTTTTGAGTTTGGATAGTTAAATTTGCGAAAATTTGCGAAACAAATTAGTTTGTTTTTGTTTTTTGCCTGCCTACCTACCTACCTACCTACCTACCTACCTACCTACCTACCTACCTACCTACCTACCTACCTACCTACCTACCTACCTACCTACCTACCTACCTACCTACCTACCTACCTACCTACCTACCTACCTACCTATCTATCTATCCTACTGTCTGTCTGTCCCTACTGTCTGTCCCTACTGTCTGTCTGTCTGTCTTGTGTCCATTCATTCATCCATTAATCTAACTATCTATTTATCTATCTAGCTACTTATCTAAACTTAACCTAAAAGCTACTTACCCACCTGCCTGTCCGATCAATCTTGAGATAATAACATGCAGCACTCCTATGTATGTAGGGCAATTATTCGGAATTAATTCTTTTAATAATTTAAATTATTCATATCATTATTATTGTAATTATGAAAAGTTAATGAATAATAATACTAGAATAATTTTTATTGTTTGTAATTTGTGGAAAATTATCTGCCATCTATACATCCAAATATATATATATTGTAAGTGTGCGTTTGTGTGTGTGTATGTGTGTGTGTGGTGTACATAATTGTATACACATTCATCAAAAAATTTTGTGATTACTAATTTCATTTAATTAGTGAAAAGTCTAAATAAAAAAATTTAACATGTTAGCAAATTCTGAAAAATAATGGAACTCAAAAAAATCGGCTAACGTGATTGGTCGGGGCAGAAGTTTGATTCAACCAATGACAATCGTTTAAAATTGCTTACGTCATTGTTTGATACCGTGCTATAAATAGATATAACTTGCCATAACCTTACTGGAAAAGGTGATTGATAGATCATTAATATTCATCACCACAATATGAATATGAATTAGATGAAGTAAGAAGGTGTATGTATATAATTAAAAAAACTCGTAAAAGGGTAAACAAAACAGAAAAAGATACAAACATAAACATACACACACACACACACGCACACACAAGCACACACACATACATACATACATACAGTTAAAATAGCTAATATAACGGGTGACCCTAACGAAGGCAATTATTTAAAACACATTCTTTCACTTTTATTACAAAAATGTAATTCCTTTTGCATTCTGGATGGAGCTGCTAGATACCTGACTGTGCGAGACCAGGGACATAGATAAAAGTTGAACTCGGAAACGATTGCATGCCTAACCATGGCTTGTTCATCAAAACGGGTTCATACATACATACATACATACATACATACATACATACACACACACATACATACATACATACATACATACATACATACATACATACATACATACATACATACATACATACATACATACATACAAACAAACAATCCCTTCAATCCCGGTTCTCAAGGAACCATCCAGCATTTCTGCGCATGATGGTAGGCGCCCGGACGGATGCACACTAATACCTTGGAGAGCCGGCAGATGTTTGGCGTGGGATGTTACGGTCCCTGGCACCCTTGCCAAACGATATGTAAGAATGCGGTTTGGCCGCGGCCAGGGCAGCGGACGAGAAAATGAAAAAATATGGGAACGCCATCCCCTCGATGAAATTCTTGCCAATACATACATTCATACATACATACATACATACATACATACATACATACATACATACATACATACATACATACATACATACATACATACATACATACATACATACATACATACATACATACATACATACATACATACATACATACATACATACATACATACATACATACATACAAACAAACAATCCCTTCAATCCCGGTTCTCAAGGAACCATCCAGCATTTCTGCGCATGATGGTAGGCGCCCGGACGGATGCACACTAATACCTTGGAGAGCCGGCAGATGTTTGGCGTGGGATGTTACGGTCCCTGGCACCCTTGCCAAACGATATGTAAGAATGCGGTTTGGCCGCGGCCAGGGCAGCGGACGAGAAAATGAAAAAATATGGGAACGCCCTCCCCTCGATGGAATTCTTGCCAATATGTATCGAGGTTCTCGGCCCGATGGACCCCAACACCCTTAAATTTCTTAAGGCAATATGTAAAATGATCAGCGTCAGATCAGGCGAAAGCAGGGAACTGTTTTTCGCAACTAACCACATTTCGTGCTTGTTGCAGCGGTTCCTGCGTGTCTGTGTGCTTGAAAATATCCAACTGAATGCCGACATGTGCAATTAACGACAAATCAAAGTGTTAATCCATTTGTTACTTGATGTTTGACGGTTCAGTGTCAGTCATCATGTTTTGGTTTTAACATACATACATACATACATACATACATACATACATACATACATACATACATACATACATACATACATACATACATACATACATACATACATACATACATACATACATACATATGAAAAAAATGTACAAAATGATAAGTGTCAGGTCCGCCAGCGGCAGAGAACTATTTTCCGCCATGAATCATATCTCTTGTTTGCTGCAAAGGTTCTTGCGCGTCTGTGTTACCGAAAATGTTCGATTAAACGCCGACGTGAGCGAATAACGAGATATCAATTGTTAACTGGTTTCATTCAGATGTTTGACTGTTTAGTGTCACTCATCACTGATTTGGTTTTAACATACATACATACAAATACAAATACAAACAAACAAACAAACATGCAAAATGATGTCACTTCAAATACAATTTAATTAACTATTCTTCCTTTCACTGACGCCGCCCGTAACAGATTAATAATAATAATATTGATAATATTAATAATAATAATATTGATACTTGTTAAATAAAAGCTTCCACAGGTTACGACACTACGAAGTTATAAGGCCATAAAAGTCGATACTAGATAATATTTGGAAAGGAATCAGATGAAATAGAAACCCTCAAAAAACATGTTATCTATAACCTTAATGTCAACAAGGTTATTGCATTAACATACATGTTCACAAAATCAAACCATTAGCAAACCATAACACTAGCAACAACTACAACATCAACTACAACAACACTAACTAAGATTGAAAACATCAATAGCTATAAAAAAATTTATACCAATAAAATTAGCATTTCCTTACGGGAACGTTTCGGCATTCTTCAACAGTCATTCAAGTATTTACATTTTATCTTTATTCCTCGCTAAGCGTTCCCTCTTGCAAATCTTTTATCGTTGGTATCTCTTTTTCTTCTTTTACATTTTTGCCTTGTTATATATCTCTCTTTCTCTCTATCTCTCTTTCTCTTTCTCTCTTTCTCTCTTTCTCTCTTTCTTTCTCCTCTTTCTCTCAATCTGCCGCTTCCTTTTTGGTTTTCCTTTCTAACTTTTTCTCTCTTTATTTCTCTTTTTATTTCTCACTGTATGAGTGTGTCTCTCCCATATTTAAACTCATACACAGACACACATACACACGGACACACATACACGCAAATACAAACACACACAGATACATACAGACACACATACACACATTTACAAACACACACACACAGATACATACAGACACACATTCACACAGATATAAACACACACAGATACATACAGACACACATACACACGTGCAACGCACGCACACAAACGAAATAAAGACCACACAGTCATTCATCCAATAATCAAGGTGAGTGTGGTCTTTGAGACTTTGCTGCACTATACCACTGGTGCCAAATAGATGAATAATTATTATAATTATTTTAATATTTCTTGTAATTACTAAGCGACTTATTAAGATAAAGTTAATTGCCCCCACTTAAATTTTAACCAAGTGCTTGCCCTCGGAGTATTAAAATACACAAAGATGTTTGTAAGTCAATTAAGACTAGTTTATAAGTCTCTATAAATTTCTTTGTTTCCTTCACTCTCTCCTCTCTCTCTTTCTCTCTTTCTCATTCTCTCTCTCTTTCTATATATATATATATATATATATATATATATATAGTGAATGCTAGTATATATATATATATATATATATATATATATATATATATATATATATAGTTATATGTATATATTTGTCCTTCAATCTACCTGTGCAACCAATCGCTACAGTTTTGTTAGCGAATGATAACACAGTTATAAGCGTTACAAGAGGTAAGCAGTTGGTCAAAGTTGTATCTCAGAAGTAACTTTGCTTAAGGTTTTTTTTTTGAAAAATAATTTGATCATAAATTTAATTAATTCAAAATATTTTGATAGTCTGATCTAAAATATTTAAAATTATTAATTTTGCTCGTACTCCTAATTCAAGCCTAACTTTTTTTAATCCTCATAGAAGCTTGGTCTAAATCGGTAGCCACCGAAACAATTAACACAGGAAATGGGTCTGACCGAACCGGCAACTCTCTCCTTCTCACTCTCTCTCCCTTTCATCATTTACAGTGTTCTCATTCTCCTCTCATTACAGCTGCCAGAGACAGAATCGGTTGAGTGTTACGACTGCGTCTATCCAACGGCCACAAACTGTCTTGATGGAAGTTTCGCTTCCGATACAATCAAATGTACTGGGAAATACTGCTTACTAACTTCTGTTTATCAAATTAAAAAAAGTTAGTGTTCTATTTAACAATAAAAATAACGGTTGGTCATTCAAAATTTGTTTCATTTTATTTTTATTCAATATATTTAGTGTAAAAAAATTTTATTCTGCATGGATGTGTTTTTAGGTACACTATCATCATTGTTATTATCACCATGTCCTTGTCATCTTTATCATTTCGATGCAGTTAGCTCTTCCGTGTCGTCAGGTGAAATAACGTTTCAGAACTTCTTTACGAGTCCCATTCCTGTTTCAATGTATCAAGAGAAACAAATCCAAAATTCAAAAATTTATCTTCCTGCGTTCGTTTTGTTGGTTTTATTTTACCCG